TTGAAAGAACTGCAAAGAATACATTAATGAAACAGAAAAGTGTTTCAAATTAAAAAATTATCCTGTGGAAAAATGTATTTGCAAAGCTGAAAACTAAAGGGTACTTAAGCTGTGCAATAGAGTGATTTTGTATGACTATATAGGATGCTACCATGTTTAAAGCCACATACAGACAAATGAGCTGTATCAATAGAAACATTTGAGTTAATCCTCAGAAGTTAAAAAGGCAGCACTTACTGCTCTTTTTAAAAATCTACAGTCTCTGGTTTTTTGCACGTCACTCCACAAAAAATTGGTTTTCATCTCTTCTCCTCTTGTTCATTACCAAGGTACTGAAGGTTTGTTATTTCTTAATTTTCACAACTGAATTACTGAGAATTTCTCAAAGAATTGCTGAATTGCTGATTATCTCTGAAGTTTGATGGTGGTTTTTTTTGAAGAGCAAACTCCATGTCTTTGGACTTTGACTAGGACACTGCCTATATGTCAGGTTATTTAAAATATTTCCAGGAGAAAAGTAGTGTCTCACTATATTTCTTCAACAGCTCTTCAATTCATCTCATTAAATGATGCATCAATTTGAAATAAGAAAATAGCCAAACAAGAGATGGCTTGTTGGCCATTAAATGCTAAAATGACAAAATTACCCTTGACAGATTTTCTAGATCAGATTTTGTTCCCTCAAAAAAATGTCAGGCCTTGCTCACCTTATTACAGTTGCACTAAATTAGTGAAGTTGTGATTGTTAAGTTTAAATAACCCAGGGCTAAGCAAAAGTCAAAAACTCTCAATTTCAATACACGTTATTCCTTGCCAGGCTTTATCTGCAATTAACATAAGGAAATACCAAATTAACGAGATGCTGGTTTCTACTGAACTCTGTGTTCTCACTCATATCAATCCAATTGGACTTCAAAGCTACTTGATGATATAATTACACATTCAGACAAAGCCTAACAGTCCAAAGAAAATACACACACAGTGAGCAACTTAGGAAAAAGACTTTGGGACATCTTTTGCAATTCATCACTTGACCTTCTGAATCTAAAGTCTTGATCGCTTCACCTCGAATCTTATCCTTTGCTCATAGCAATGTATTTCTCTTCTCTTGGTATTCCTCTGGTACATGTTTTCTCCATGCATTTTATTTGATTAAATAACAGCTTGGAAAACAGAAAACATAAATAATTCAGAGTAAACATCTTGAGCAAAAATTTAAGTGCATGACACCAGCCAGACATACAGGAAACAAGTAGTCTTATACCACCATTTTTTCATTAGTGGCCATAACTCAAAACAACTGCAGAGGAACAGAAATAGTTTTGATGAAGGGAATGTATTGATTTACTTTGGGTGAAGCAACTCAGACCTGCAAAATTATGCATGCCTGATAATCATTTGCTTCAATCTAACAAAATATCTCCCAGTTAACATTTATAATTCCTCTGGAATTAGAGTACACATTGCCTAGAGGACATTAAATTAGGCAAAATGGATATCAGCATTTCAAACCAGCGTATCAGGTGCTTTCAAATGAGTCATGCTCACAACTGTTCTTTATCAAAGACAGACTTCCAAGTAATTTATCCAAAACATTATTTCCCATAGTAGATTTGATTGACAATAACTAACTGCACAAGAAGGGTTTTCAAAATCTAGCATGTGTAATTCTGAGGGTTCATTGCTTTCTTATTTTTGAATCGTTGACAGTTTTTGGTTTGTTTTTTAAGCAACACCAGAATTGCCCCATGAAATTGTCTGAATTGATATATCTTAGATTTTGTTCCCAGATTGATCTCCATAATTTTGGAGAAAGAACACCCCTAACTACAGTATGCATGCAATCCACTGTTGAGAAACAAAAAGGGAAAGTATGCATGCAACTACAGTATGCATGCAATCCACTGTTGAGAAACAAAAAGGGAAAGGAAAGCACTCACAGAAAGGTAGCCAAATCAGAGCAAAACTCTAAGTGAGCTTCCCTACTCATTTTTCCGCATGTTTTCAGAAGGACAAATCTTTCCATCAATGAGGTTTTTCTGAGATATCATGCTATACCAAAGATAGGTAATGTTAATTTTTAAATTCAAGATTAAATAGATTTCAAACAGAAAAGCATGAAACAAGGCCAAACAACAGGCACAAGTTTGACTGCTTTGTTTTTACAGCATCTGCTTGTCTCTGTCTTCCTTTAAAATTGCCTTTCAACCCAAGCTAGAACTCCCAGGCTAGACAAGATATTGGGAAAACTGCCTCCTAAAACACCTCCCTTCCTCCATTTTTTGTTTTTTTCATATGGTCTTCAGCTGCCATTTACCACATCTTCACTGTGGGTAGGTTACACAGGAGCCTTTGGGCACTTCTGGAGACTAATAAGGGATGGGAGCCATCAGCACCTAGACCCAAAAATGGCAACCCTTTAAGTGCAGTTACCAAGTTAAGACCTCTGCCTCCTCTTATGAATGGTAAGGAAACTACAACTTGTGGCTAAGAAGCACCCATTCTTGTTCAGGGCAAACAGAAGATGAAGATGGAACAGACAATGGCAGAAAAGACTCATTTTGCCAAGCAGCATCATAAGTTGTGGGTTCTGGTTTCGGGTGTGCAGGTGCTGGAAGGAGGTTCCCTCGTGCAGCTGCTGCTTTGCCCTACCCATCTGTCTCAGGGCACACCCCATATCTGCCATAAACCTGCACAGGCCCCAGTACTTCTCACTTAGGGCAGAGCTCACTGCGAGCGAGGGCTGAACCTCTGCTGCCCCATGGCCCCTTCTGTGGCATTAGAAATACTCCGCCTGGGCCTGTTCCCCATCGCTTCCCTCCAGCCAGCCATGTTAAGGGCTACTTCCAATTACTCTGTCATCTGAGAGAAAGGCACACAACAACAACAACAAAAGAACCCCAACCTTTTTGTTCAGTAACAAGGTCACAGTGTCAGAAGCATGCCCATCTGCAGCCTCATGCTGAGTGAGCACTGAAGAACCCTCACTACACACATAATCCAATATACTACAAAGAAAACACTAACAATAATAAAATTGAAGCTGTGAAGACTCTGACTGTTCATAGTACAACATCCTGAAGCAAAGCCAGTAACACATGCCAGTATGAGCCCCGCAGCTGAAAGGCTCAGAAAATCATGAGGCAGAGCGGGGCAAGGAGAAGGCTTTCGTGCCAGCACCTAGCTTCCACCTCTGGCTTCAGGAACTGACTGCTGTCAGTAGCAGAACTTCAGCCACGTGCTTCAGAAACTGAAAATGCTTCCGTGGCTGTTTGCCAGGACACCGCGTGTCAATATGCAATACCATTTACACAGACTTTGATTACAGGAAATGCTGAAAGAGACAGAACAAATCAGTCACATAGTTGTCACTTGTAGGAACAGATTAGACTAAAACTCAAATACAGAGTCATGATGGCACAACCAACTCTTACTTGAAGACTTCAGAACTGAAAAAAAAAATGATAAAAAAAAATCAAGGTGGGCTGGAGAAGTAACACAGATAGACTTGATGTACTGCAGGAAAAAATAATCCATGAAATTGAATGAATACAAAACACTCAAACCAGACAGGAACCTTAATTTTATTTACTTATTAAACAGGGAAATTGTTTCAACTTTCATGATTATTAATGAGATATTTTTCAACATAGAAGTGCTATTCACAACATTTATTAATGACTAGACACAAGACAAGTTGCCTACTAGAAAGAAAACATTGATAAAAGAAAACTAGGTTAAGCCCCAACTGAGCATAATGAAGAAAAACAGGTGACTTAATATAACATCCTACATTTAACAAGATTATAACAAATAGAAATCAATGTAGAGAGAAACATAATATGAATTTTAAAAGGACACCATTTAAACTGTAATTCCATTTAAAGTACCTATCACTTAGTACTTTAACCTACTTATGAACACAAGAAGTCAAGGAAGTCTCAGCATGAATACAGTAAACTGGATGGATGGCTATTTCACTTAATTACATATATGCTCTTCTGCAGTGTAACGTAATTACTCTGGGTAACTAAATTGCTGTAATGCTCACGAGGTTTTATCTTCTCCTCCCCGTCTCTTAAAAAACAGAAGAGAAGATCGGGAAAAGCTGAGAAACCTCAAAGGAGCATTAAAAAGCAATAACTGCAACACCACTGAGAAGAGTTAAAATAAGCCTGTGACACATTTTATTTAGATAACATAATTTGGATGCCCAATCATGTGCTCATAAATGCTGTTGACACAGCTTCAACATACATGCAAAAACTACCCATTTAAGACAACCCCAAATATGCATGCCCTTTCACAACGTCCTCTTTAAAGCCTTGCAGCAGAAGAGAATCGTTTTTCTCAGTCTGTAGCCTGAACTCACTCTCACCAAAAGAGTCCCACAACACTCCCCAGTAATAAGTACCAATTACTGTGACTTCAGAACACAGCAGTTACCTTAAGAGGACACTGCACAGTTAAGTGCTGCTAAATATTGCCTTTGCAACTGTCAATCCTTTAATCCATTTAAGCTCTGTTTACCATATCTGTGCAATTCAGTATTTCAAACCTGTAATTACATTTAGAGACACATTAAAGCCCCCACTAATACATACAGTAGCTACAGGAAACACATAGAAGTGCAAGAATATGACAAAGATAATTTAATGCCACTTTCAGAAAGCAGCATATCATCAGCTTTAGCATCTTTCTAATTTTAGTCCCATCTTTATAAGATGCTTCACAGCAGTAGTCCCACAAAGCTTGCTGTCTGTGGAGCTTCAGATTTATGACACCCCAGAAAAGACCTACAGATTCGAACATACAGCAGCAGTGGAAGTGTTCTCCTCCACAGGATAACCTTAAAGCCTCTAGGCAGTAGAGGCTTTTTGGCCAGTACTGATTTTGGCAGGGATAGAGTTAAATTTCTTCACAGTATCTTGCATGGGGCAATCAAACAGATTCTTGTTACTGATGCCGTGAAAGACGAAATCAGGACTCAATAGCCGGGATGACTATAAAGCAGGTATTCTTTATTGCAGCGCTGGACGCACAGGGGATCGCTCCTCCAAATGTGCGTGCCAGACGGAGTCAGTTTGACAACATATATGCATACATACATACATATTCATGTAAGGAGTTTTAACATATTCATTAGTTTCCAGTAATTCATTACCATACGCTACCTCCTTCTTGGAGTTCTCCATTTGTCAGAGATAAGATAACATTGTGCTGGCCTCATGATTGTTGTTGCCTACGTGCCAGCCTTCCTGTCTTGTTACTTATCGTAGCTCTGCAGGGGTTGTAGGCCCCTCTCTGTGGTCAGTCAGGCTACATTTGCTAAGTCATACTTAGGTAAGCAAACCTTCAAGCCATTCCTGGCCTTATTCTTTAATTCAATCCCCCCTTTTCTTTAAGCTATTGCAAATTCTTTTGCATAATTTTGTTTACAGCCCATAATACATGTACTTGTTGAGCAACAGTCCGTACTTTCCACCATAACCAAATGTTGAGAAGTGTCAGCAGTAGGGCTACAAAAATCAACACTAGTACAGGATGCAATAAGAAGTCGAAAAACTGAGCAGCAATTGGAGATTTTAGTGAGGTATTTAGAAAAATGTCCCACCAATGGTGTTCACCAGGTTTCTCGATGGCTGTGATGATTTTCTTTATTTCCAGAGTATTGTGCTGGACTTGCCATAATGTTCGTTTCGAAGCTTCCTTCACTTTCTTTAGCAACATTTTAATGTCTGGGTGGGAAAGCATTTTCTTAAGGACATTAATGTCCATTCCAATCTGTAGTTTAGGTACATCATTGTATAGCATGAAAAGGAACAGAATAATTAAAATCACAACCTTGTATCTTGGTAAAATTACAAACACAAAAGTTAGTTCCATTTGTTTCTTCTTCACAAGTATCAATGCTAACATTAACACAACTAGTTCTTATACAGACGCATCCTTTCCCTACATAATACACCTGTGATTGAGCATGTTCTGAGGGAAGCATCTCGAATGTGCACGTACTGTCTTCTGTGTCTAAGCACAAATCTTCATTTTCAATGACTGCATTCTCACAAACATATCCTAGTTGTTCCTTTGGAATGCAGGCTTCAGTACTAATGGTCTGCCATTTCCTTATATCATTGTTATATCTTGCCCAAACATTATGGTTTAT